AGTAAATACGTAATTAGATAATAAATAAGATACATAAATTTGTAAGATTCTGACCTACTTCTTTTTCAGAATATTAAAATTTTGCCAGTGTATAAGATCGCTCCATATGTTACGATAAACTGAGCGATTTATCTTCACAAGCAGATCTACTTAGTTAAATCGCACGCTCATATAGCGGCGACAACGTAGTTAACGCTCAGTTTTATCGTAACGTCTGTAACGGCCTATTTAAAAATAAAGTTTCCTGAGGGTATGGGGTAAAAATGGACCCTTTTAGCATTGTATACAATATAATCTGAAATTTAGGACAACAGTCATTCAGTCCTAAGATAAAATATCAACGTTTATATTAACATCTATAATATGATGGTTATTTTTAGTTGAGATTTCAAGTGTCTATTAAATTTATACGATATGGGCAAATTTAGTTTTGTTGTAGTTTTGAGTGCTGTAGTTAAATAAATTTTTATTGTCTCCGCATTATAATTTAAATATTTTATGTCTACCATAACTCCAAAGTTTTGATTAGAAGCCGGTCGTTGTGTATAACCTCATATCCTATTAAGTTATATATAGATCATTTTCAATATTTTATGTCTATATTTAATATTATTCGAATATGTCGACATTCCAGTTTTATGTCTTCTTCTTTTTCTGAGGAGTTAGAAATGCACTTTTTTTAAAAATACCATTTATATTATATATATATATATGTATGTATGTATGTATATATATATATATATATATATATATATATATATATATATATATGGGTTAGGTGTGTGTTGGATCAGTGGTGGTCATCTCAATTCCATTAAATATATTGAAATATTAGACAATATTATGTTGCCGTCAGTAATAGAGGTGTTTCCTGAAAATAATTTTATTTTCCAACAAGACAACTGCTCCATACATACGGCCCATCGTGTCAGGCAATGGTTTCTTAATAAAAACATAGAGTTGTTACCGTGGCCATCTAGAAGTCCGGATTTAAATCCAATTGAAAATGTATGGGGACTAATGGTGAAACATATAAGAAAATTAAATAACCATCCAAATAATGTCCAAGAATTGGAAGGGATAATTGAAGACGCTTGGGAGAACTTGTCGCAAGAAATTGACCTTGCAAGAAATCTGATTTTGTCCATGCCTGCAAGACTTCGGGCAGTTTTTAGACGCTAATGGAGCAATAACAAAATATTAGTTAATTCTGTATTACGTAATTGAAGTTCATTTATTTTATTTTTTTATTGTATTTTTATGTTCAGTTTGCATTGTTTACATTTTTTTTTAATCTCAAGTGGTATTTTTGTGTTCTTATTTTAAAAATAGAATTATCATTATTCAGTTAGTATTTTAATTACAACCATTAGTAGAATTATCCGTAACAAATATTATTTTTTTAAACAATAATATGGCAGGCTTGAAAATGTTTTGAAAAAGTTATTTTCTAATTATTTTTTAAAATTCCATTTGAATAAAATAAAAGAGAAAGGTTTAATAAGTTTAAAAACACAAAGATCTCCTCCAAAAAACCCAGGTCCTTCTCCCCCCCTCGACATGCCTGGCCAGCCCTATTTACAGACATATGCACACAACTAAACTATTAAGATTTTCAATTACAAGAGTTGTACCAGTTTTTTTTGAAATCAAGTGTACATACATTTTCAATACTAATAAAATACTGATTTTAACAGCGACAAATAAAAATGTGAGCCACTTTGGCATGCATTTTGCCCAATAAGGTGGCATCATCGGGACTAAAACTGTTACTGTTCTAGTCCGTTCGTTTTCACCCAATCTACCCTAACTTTAACCATATCATGCATCGGGGGCATCATATCAAAAAGGCGGAAACGCCAATATAACTGCTATGATTATACGCCCTTCTGATATGATGCCCCCATATAATTTCTTCATATACATTTTCATGGCTGTTTAATTTTTCCATGATGGTATTTCGTTATAATTGTTCTGACGTATGCATCGTCATGACATGGCGTATACTTCCATCTTTTTATATACTTTTCTCACGTATATAGTGCGGTTGTTAAAGTTTCTACCTTTGGTAACCTTTAAATGATTTGTAAAATGTTCCCTGCTGATTTTAGTAATAAAAGTGTTTATTAGCAAACTCATTTCGAACGTTTTGATATGTAGTTTCGTGGTCGAGTGGTAAGAACACTTACCTCTCACTCTGGAATCCGGGGTTCGATCCCCGGTTGGGGAGCTAAGATTTTTTCTAAACCTGCAATTAATCCTAGCGTACTCGGACATTGGATGTCTGTCCGTTGTCTCTAAATGTGTAGCCCTCTCCCACACAAGGTACCCTAAAATACCTTCAAGGATATAGGGGTTGTATTACCTGTGGTGGTGTGTTTGGACGATGATGTTAGAACTTATTTCACTTATTATTTGTGATTATGTTATGTATACCTTTGATTTAATGTTTCTTCATAGGAAAAATCCAATGATGTTAAGTCTGGAGAGCGGGCGGACCACTGTACTGGACCTCAAAGACTAATCCACCTCCCAGGATAGGTTAGCATGACCAGCTAGTCGCGGTATTGTCAGCGTGACAATATAATAACTCACTAACCAGGAAAGCGGATTTCTGGAATACGCCCTCTGTCACTATTCATACCATTTCTACATTTTGTCAAATGGATCCGATTATCAATTATTTATTACATTTCTAATTAATCATAAATTGCTAATATTTATCTTATGGTTGTTCTCATGCCCATGTTAGGCAGCATTGGAATTATGTGTACTTCCATATTTTAGATAAATCATATGTTCTTTAAACCTAGTCTGAATTAATTGCCTCGTTTACCCAATATATGATTACAGCCCTTACAACCAATTTCATAAATCTCCCACCTTTCTTTTCATAAAAGTCCGAGATTTACTAAACTAGACTTTTCCTGTGGTGGTCTTTTCGAATAACATGTTTTGAGATTTAAAATTTTCGTTTTCGAAGGAATTTGGAAAAATGTAGTTTTACAATTCATAAATTGAGGACCACTAGTTTTCTCATTAAATTTCACTTAAAAATGTGTCTGTTCATCCGTTTAACCTTACAGTTAGACAAAATTAAAACAAACAAATTTTGCAAGGAGACCATAATCTTCTCACTTTGACACTTATATCCGAGTTATGGCTTCATAATTTTATACAGGTACATATATAAAATATAAATAATATCTGCTAGGTTTTTTGGGGATTTCTGCCAAGTATAATTAATTTTAGTATTTTTTTCTAACGTTTCGGTTTATTACACTATCATCAGAAAACTACAATTAAAATAATATTTTAAAAACATAGTTATGGTTATTTTACATTACATTATTTAAAATTATTATGTAAAATAACCATAACTATGTTTTTAAAATATAATATTAATTGTAGTTCTCTGATGATGGTGTAATAAACAGAAACGTTAGAAAAAAGATAATAAAATTAGTTACATCTGACCGAAATCGCAAAAAAGCTGTCAGATATTATTTGATATTAATGGTCAAGAAAAGAAATATATATATATATATATATATATATATATATATATATATATATATATATATATATATATATATATATATATATATATATATATATATATATTTCTTATATATATATATATATATATATATATATATATATATATATATATATATATATATATATATATATATATATATTTCTTTTCTTGACCATTAATATCAAATAATATCTGACAGCTTTTTTGCGGATTTCGGTCAGATGTAACTAATTTTATTATCTTTTTCTAACGTTTCTGTTTATTACACCATCATCAGAGAACTACAATTAATATTATATTTTAAAAACATAGTTATGGTTATTTTACATAATAATTTTAAATAATGTAATGTAAAATAACCATAACTATGTTTTTAAAATATTATTTTAATTGTAGTTTTCTGATGATAGTGTAATAAACCGAAACGTTAGAAAAAAATACTAAAATTAATTATACTTGGCAGAAATCCCCAAAAAACCTAGCAGATATTATTTATATTTTATATATGTACCTGTATAAAATTATGAAGCCATAACTCGGATATAAGTGTCAAAGTGAGAAGATTATGGTCTCTTTGCAAATTTGTTTGTTTTAATTTTGTCTAACTATAAGGTTAAACGGATGAACAGACACATTTTTTAAGTGAAATTTAATGAGAAAACTAGTGGTCTCAATTTATGAATTGTAAAACTACATTTTTCCAAATTCCTTCGAAAACGAAAATTTCAAATCTCAAAACATGTTATTCGAAAAGACCACCACAGGAAAAGTCTAGTTTAGTAAATCTCGGACTTTTATGAAAAGAAAGGTGGGAGATTTATGAAATTGGTTGTAAGGGCTGTAATCATATATTGGGTAAACGAGGCAATTAATTCAGACTAGGTTTAAAGAACATATGATTTATCTAAAATATGGAAGTACACATAATTCCAATGCTGCCTAACATGGGCATGAGAACAACCATAAGATAAATATTAGCAATTTATGATTAATTAGAAATGTAATAAATAATTGATAATCGGATCCATTTGACAAAATGTAGAAATGGTATGAATAGTGACAGAGGGCGTATTCCAGAAATCCGCTTTCCTGGTTAGTGAGTTATTATATTGTCACGCTGACAATACCGCGACTAGCTGGTCATGCTAACCTATCCTGGGAGGTGGATTAGTCTTTGAGGTCCAGTACAGTGGTCCGCCCGCTCTCCAGACTTAACATCATTGGATTTTTCCTATGAAGAAACATTAAATCAAAGGTATACATAACATAATCACAAATAATAAGTGAAATAAGTTCTAACATCATCGTCCAAACACACCACCACAGGTAATACAACCCCCTATATCCTTGAAGGTATTTTAGGGTACCTTGTGTGGGAGAGGGCTACACATTTAGAGACAACGGACAGACATCCAATGTCCGAGTACGCTAGGATTAATTGCAGGTTTAGAAAAAATCTTAGCTCCCCAACCGGGGATCGAACCCCGGATTCCAGAGTGAGAGATAAGTGTTCTTACCACTCGACCACGAAACTACATATCAAAACGTTCGAAATGAGTTTGCTAATAAACACTTTTTATTACTAAAATCAGCAGGGAACATTTTACAAATCATTTAAAGGTTACCAAAGGTAGAAACTTTAACAACCGCACTATATACGTGAGAAAAGTATATAAAAAGATGGAAGTATACGCCATGTCATGACGATGCATACGTCAGAACAATTATAACGAAATACCATCATGGAAAAATTAAACAGCCATGAAAATGTATATGAAGAAATTATATGGGGGCATCATATCAGAAGGGCGTATAATCATAGCAGTTATATTGGCGTTTCCGCCTTTTTGATATGATGCCCCCGATGCATGATATGGTTAAAGTTAGGGTAGATTGGGTGAAAACGAACGGACTAGAACAGTAACAGTTTTAGTCCCGATGATGCCACCTTATTGGGCAAAATGCATGCCAAAGTGGCTCACATTTTTATTTGTCGCTGTTAAAATCAGTATTTTATTAGTATTGAAAATGTATGTACACTTGATTTCAAAAAAAAAAACTGGTACAACTCTTGTAATTGAAAATCTTAATAGTTTAGTTGTGTGCATATGTCTGTAAATAGGGCTGGCCAGGCATGTCGAGGGGGGAGAAGGACCTGGGTTTTTTGGAGGAGATCTTTGTGTTTTTAAACTTATTAAACCTTTCTCTTTTATTTTATTCAAATGGAATTTTAAAAAATAATTAGAAAATAACTTTTTCAAAACATTTTCAAGCCTGCCATATTATTGTTTAAAAAAATAATATTTGTTACGGATAATTCTACTAATGGTTGTAATTAAAATACTAACTGAATAATGATAATTCTATTTTTAAAATAAGAACACAAAAAATACCACTTGAGATTAAAAAAAATGTAAACAATGCAAACTGAACATAAAAATACAATAAAAAAATAAAATAAATGAACTTCAATTACGTAATACAGAATTAACTAATATTTTGTTATTGCTCCATTAGCGTCTAAAACTGCCTGAAGTCTTGCAGGCATGGACAAAATCAGATTTCTTGCAAGGTCAATTTCTTGCGACAAGTTCTCCCAAGCGTCTTCAATTATCCCTTCCAATTCTTGGACATTATTTGGATGGTTATTTAGTTTTCTTATATGTTTCACCATTAGTCCCCATACATTTTCAATTGGATTTAAATCCGGACTTCTAGATGGCCACGGTAACAACTCTATGTTTTTATTAAGAAACCATTGCCTGACACGATGGGCCGTATGTATGGAGCAGTTGTCTTGTTGGAAAATAAAATTATTTTCAGGAAACACCTCTATTACTGACGGCAACATAATATTGTCTAATATTTCAATATATTTAATGGAATTGAGATGACCACCACTGATCCAACACACACCTAAACCATTTAGGCTCATCCAAGCCCAGACATTGACTGAAAACCTTCCTGATATTTGTGGATCGAAAGTATATTTTTCGTCGTATCTAGTGGAAGGAGGCCTATATACGCGAACATGTATAATAATAATAATAATAATAATGTTTATTTAGAAAGGATGAAATACAACTTTTGAAGCACAGGAAAATATAAAATATACAGTATGTATTTACGAATTAAGTGTATTAATAAATATGAATAATAAACATAGGGAAATCCACAGAGAAAAATCTGTTCGTGGACTATGCTATACGATAAATCAAAGTACCTGTTAAACATGTATTACAATAGGGGGAAGAGAAAGAAAAAAAGGAAAAAAAAACAGTGATATGCATAATTAAATACCACTCACTAAAATAATAATAAGCCAATTTCATATTTGGGACACATGTGCATATATATGCACATACATCCACATATACACTCACATTCATACATACACATATACATATTTGCACATATATGCATATTTAAACATATACACACTTACACACACACATATACACATATATACGCATACATATACATACACATATACATATATACATACATACACATACATACATACTTATAAACATTTTATTTATTCATTTAATCTTTTTTTTACTAAATCATTTGATGAATTACAGTTCTAGGTGTTGCCAGAATCCATTCCGATAGTTTTTTTTTAAATAAGTTGTAAGAATTTAAGTTTTCTAGTTCATTTGGTATAATATTATACATCTTAGAACTTAGGTAACATCGTTACAGGATTTAAAAAACCTTTTCGTCAGAAAAGACAACTTGTCCCCAGAAGTTTTCATCATTGATTATATAGTTGAGTGCAAAAATAATCCTACCCTGCTTCTTTTCTTCTGAAGTTTGTATTTTTTAGCCGCTGAACAACTCTTCAAGTCGCATTGTAGTTTTATTCTTCTGCAAGCAGTAGATACCGAAGCAGGGAAACTTTTCTCTGAAATTGCATTTACTGCAATCTGAAAAGGGTTTTCTATTAGGTAATTTATAAGATTTTCATCTTCTTGATTATTGCTCTTTCTGGGCCTACCGGAACCAACTTTACGGGATACCGTTTGGTTGGTTTCCCATTGTTTTTTAACACTCATTATCGTGATTTTACTCACATTGTATTCAGCAGCAAGTCTTCTTATGGACCAACCATCTTCAATTTTAGAAAAAATTCGAAATTTTTGAATATCTGTTAGATGTCGAACCATTTTTAATAATGACGCCACTGATTAACGTCAAAGTGACATTTGTAAGATTATTAATATCAATCAAAGAACGAATGATTTACATAGCTAAAAGAAAGTGTACCAGTTTTTATTGAAATCAACTGTACTACTAATAAATAAGCATACGCTAATATCAATCAATACGGCAATGTTCGTATTATATGTTTACAGATTTCCACATTATAATTAATTTGAATAATAAGCAAACTGACTCATATTTCCAGTATTGAATTACATTGTAAAAACGGAATTTACAAATAACTCAAAATGAAAATAAATGTTTACTGCTACATTTGTTTGTAAAGATAATAAAAAGAGACTTAAATAAACAAAATGACTAAAACGTAAACAGGTAAATTGAAAGAAAATACTTTTTGTTGAATAATGAAGACAGCTCAAAACTCCGTTGTTTTTACTTAAATAAAACAGAATGTAGAAAATAATGAAGGCACATTATTTATTATGCACCATCGAAACGAATGTGGATAATATGAAGAAGTTATCCCGATCGAAATATGTAAAAATATACAAGAATTTCCAATTAAAATAATAAAAGTAAGTTCTGTTGTAGAAAAATTGGAAATTATAAAAAAGTTATTATGCATGTTTTATTTGATGTGCTTAATTGGTATTATGGGTGCGTTATTGTGCCTTATAATTAGAAAAAACTAGTAACGTTTCCATTTTAAGTTGTAGGGTGAAGGGAAAAATACAAGGCGATGAAACTTTGATAGACATAGGTGATAAAATACAAAAATAAACAATGATTATTGTGTAAACGATCATTTTAGAAGTAAGTGGTTATTGCAGTGGCCCTGAGATATCCTGATCTTACCCCCATAAACTTATAAACTAAGGACATTAAAGACTCAGGTGTATAAAGTAATTAGAAGAATTTAAAAAATCAAGGAACATACGGGAACAGTGATACCCAAACTTATGTTACAAAAATCGAGGTTCTTAATAACTTCGGAACATGCTTAGATGAAGATTAGACTCATATATTTTTACTATATATACTTCCTACTTTAATAAACAGTTAAATACAACCAGTTTCTTTTGTTCGTAGAAAAAAAATTTTTTCACTTTAAATAATCAGCACAAACAAATCAACAACACAACAAATTTCAGGCAGCTATTTATTGATTAAATTGCAACATTTTTCTGACATGAACAAGGTTATACTAGGTACTCCACATGGTAGGGTCCTTAGACCCCTAATATTATTGACATATATAAACGATTTGCCTAAGTATATTAAGTCACAGAAAAGTATTTATGTATGCAGATAATTATCTCTAGCAAGTCTTTTTTTTTAACTAATAAAACAATTTAATGAATAGCGCTACATAAACAGACCGATGATAAATTATGAGAAAATCGAATTTGTTAAGACTATAACAAAAACAATTGTGACACTCATTCAGTGTTTCCCTAAACAGCCATAAATACACTTATGAGCAAAAGTATTGCATATTACTACTTATTTCTTTATTTATTTCTCTTGCACTTGTGCATCTAGGTCGGCCTTGGACGGGTTGTCACCTAAAATGTTGTTGACAATATAATAATAATTTCCAGACCACAATTTAAATACTAAGTACAAATTTTTAGGTTATTAGGTCCAGTGTAATTAAAACACTACTGTATTAACTTGCCGACGTTTCGGTATAATTTATTACCATCCTCAGGGCACTGTAAGATATAAATAAATTGATTGTAAGTTATTATATAACTATATTGGTGATAAATTCTAATCCAAACTAATAGTGAAGAAATAATATTGAACAGTTAATTAATTATTCTATAACAGATTGTAGGAAACATGTGATTATTTTAGGCACTTAAATTATTATTTACAATTAGTTATAAGTTAGTGATATATAAAAATTATAAACAAATACTCACATTAAAATTTAGTTTTTCTCATGCACAAAAAACATAATGGCAGGAACATACTTCGTAGCTATAATATTGAGTTTATTGAAAAATACTCAGTATATCGGCACATACAGAAATTAGAAATGTTTATATACTTCTTGAAATGTGTGTTACTCTCGTCGAGGCTGTGACACTAATGAGATTATTTTTTAGCACTGTTAAACTTACTGTAGATAAGGGATGAATAAGTGTTTGGGAACTAAAATGGTTTATATAATAAGTAAACAAACTTAAAGTGGAAAGGAAAGAAAGATGTAAATAGGTTGATAATTTTAAAATATCTAATGTATCATAAAGTTTTCATTTTATTAATTAGATTGAAATAACAAGAGTTTAAATTTTCAGTGTCTTTTCTTGAATTTACTGATTCGATTTTTTAATGTTGATCATTTCTTGAAATTTTCTT